CTGTCGGCAGGCCTGGGGTTGATGAGTTCCCTTCCCCTCTCGAATCGTGTGACTGTTGGCTGTTTTTTAAATCCCCTTGTACCTTTTTTGTCGTAGTTCTTTGTGTTTACCTCCCCCCTCCCTTTGGGTTTGTAAGCCGCCCTGAGTCCCTCAGGGAATAGGGCAGCATATAAATAAAATGAACCTCGAACCTCGAACTCTCTATTTATCCATCCACAGGCAAGGCCAACTGAAATACAAGAAACTGTAATTTCCCATCTCTTCTTTAAACCGGATGATAAAGTTAGAAATCCAAAAGAGATACGGAAAAGCAGAAATAAAAACATTAAAGACCAACCTTCAGGACGCTGGATGCAGGTATGCTGGTTATCACTCAGGAAAAAGCCTTCACGGCAATGGCACTCATAGCTTCCCATCATGTTGACACAAGTTTGTTGGCAGCCACCGTTCCCCTCTGCACACTCATCCACATCTATTTGGGAACCAAGGAGAGAATGAAAAGGCTGACACTTACTATTATTAAATAGTAAGAGTCTGAAGCTTACTATTTTTTTAAAGATAATACAATACAGCAAAAACACACCAAATAAAAATATTTTTTTTAAAAAATAATAAAACATTCCTTTAAAAAAAGCCAAGACAATAAAATATCTTACAAGGCTAACAAAATCATTTTTGACTATTTAAAATTCAGAAGGGAAGGAATACAATAGTTACATTTTAAAACAATTTGGGATATAAATCCTGTAATAAATTATAATGAATAAACTTGATGAAGAAATGCTACAGAAAAGATCTTGTCACATACAGTATATCTAATTACTTAGCATGTTATGATGTTGGAACATACAGCAGGACCTCTAATAAAATCTGCTGGTTCCAGGCAACTTCATACACAAGGTTTTCTTTTGAATATCCTACCTACAAAAATAGTTTTAAAGCTTTCTAGTTTAAACCAAGCTACTTGCATTGGATTGAAAAACAAATCTAAAATTAGTGCAAACGGATCAAGTATATGACATATTTTACATCACCCTTTTAATACAACAATATATAAGGCCAATCTTTGACATTCCATATTATTTCTTCCACCTTCTGATAAGATTTATTTTTAATGAAATGCAGGATAGATTTGTGTAGACTGGGTTATGTTCTTGCCGATTTTTGCCTAAAATGCCAAAAAAGTGGCATTTTGCTATTTTTAGCATTAACAAATCAGTATTTGTGCAATTAAGCTTCCTTATAAGCATACAAATGGCACTTTGGCATAGAGAAGGCATTTCTGAAACACATATGGAATTGCTGTTCTAATTTTATTTTCTAATTGTCAATTAACAATGTGTTTCCTGTCCTAAAGAGTATTAGAACAGATATTCCACATGATGTGTTTTAGAAGTGCTATTTTCTCATAATCTTTAGTGAAAATGGTTAGCATTGGACAAAGTTAAGTCTATTTGATCTGGACTGTAAAAATCCAAATCCTGATGACTACAAGATACCAAAATGAATTTATGTTTTCTTTTCTGTTTGCTACTATAGAGTGGTTTTCCAGACTATTGCAAACTAAAACTAGGAGCCAGAAATTAAAAGATTTTTTTTTCTCAATAAAGCAAGATTGGGTGACTGTGACCTTCAAAGAGATTGTTGATTATCATCTTCCAACAATGCCATAAAGCATAGGGAGGAATGCTAGGAACTATGTTTTAGCAATCTCTCCAAGAGTTGGAGAACACAGTATGCACATTCCAGTACTATTATTTTGGCTGATAGCTTCAGCACCCCCATCTACTACATCATAACTGAATTCTCAGAAAAAAAATAACCTGATCAATAGAGTAAGTTCTTACAAATATTAAGTCACAAACTAGCAAACTGAATGATAATTAACCCTATTTACTACTAAGCCAGACTAGCCACATCCCCTATTTTGCAGCAGTAGCAGATGAGTTCATTACCTAATACAGATTCACCAAACTTAAAACAAATCTAGCCAAACTTCTTAAGACTAACTACAACTAAGCGTATTGTATAGCAATGGAGACACTCTAATTAATGCCTAGCTCTACAGATTATATTCCTAATATTCAATCTATGCAAGAAAATATCATAGTTCTAGTTCACTTCCTCTAAATATCTGATTTCCAGCCTTGTCTCATAGTCTGACTTCGCTCAAAAGTCAATCTGACTCTTAAATGTATATACTCAACTTCACCAATGGGTAAATTGAAGCTCACTTAATGTAAAATGAGGAGACAATGTAAATGGATAGGTTCTGTCTCCATCATTTCTGCTGATTATTTTCAGATGAGTCAGATTCAATACAGGCAACAGATAGTAAATAGAAACTGATAATCATATTTAGCAGCAAGTACCAAAATTGCCAAGAACAAAATCGGTATAATTATTTTCAAATAAGCAATGAAAATACTCTCGTAACTGAAAAAGAGAGATTTAAGTAAAGCTCCACACTGACATTTAACTATTTGTTAAGATCCAATCAGATGAACATAGTTTCTCTAAGTATACAGTTAATATGAACAGGAATTCCTTCAGAAACAGCATAACAAACAAATAGCAACATTCTACAATATTGTTTAGAATCCAAAAAAATGAAGTATTCTAGTTGGACTTGATTTTTGGTGGAGAGAGGTTATATATTCCTATGCAAGAAGCTAGACATAAACAACAATTTTAATATCTTGGTTTTAAAAAAAACCTTTCCGATTTTTTTCTGTTTTATGTCCCCAAATCTCAACAGATGTTTTGTTATTTGGAACATTGAAGATTCCATATAGAATTCATTAATAAAAATAAAAAACCCTCATTCTCTCCTCCCCTTTTTTGAGATCTGGTCCTCCAATTTGTATTAATAAATGAAAGCTATAAATAAGAGTAATTCTTAACAACAGTTGAACAACAATCTTAATGAAAAATTTAGATAATCCATAACAAAAATAGTTTCACAGTAAGTTTAATATCCAATGATAAAACTCATTGAAATTATCACTAAGGCCTGTAGACGAGAATGTTAGTGGTCTCAAATCTTCTCCTAGAAAACCTCAATCTCTTCACAAACCTGGTCCTACCTTCTACTTTGAGGTAAATATGAGATTATAGTTCCTGCTGTAACACTTATCTTCTAGGGCCCCTCACCAGGTGCCTATCTCCTAATCTTGGTGTGCAAAAGAGACAGGACTGTAACAGCTTGTGCTGCTTTTTGCCAGTTACCAAAAATCATTTTACAGTGCCCTCTCCTAAACATATAGTGAAGAGGTTGATGGTCAGAGGATTTATCCCTTCTTTCCCCTTGGGAGATCTTGCAAGTGATAAAAATGAAACATTTTGGTAAAAAAAAGTGGGGGAGGGGGAAAAGCAAAAACAAACCAAAACAAAATCCCATAACACTTTTATGTATTAAAGTGTAGGCATTCAACATGAAAGGAGACGATTAACAAATTGCCCTAGAAAACAGTCTTATGAATTAGTTAAGAAAGAAACAAGCCACAAGATGGTGCTGGTATGCTACAACTGAAGAGCACTCTGCCGCCATTTTTTCTTAAATGTGCAGTTTGCAAAATATTATTACAGATCACAAGAAACTGTAAAGAAAAAGAACATGAACACAACCTGAAATATCTGTGAAAGATGAAAGACAATTCTATAATTTACACAGAGAGATTTTTAAAAAAATATGAGTTTTAGCACAAGTAGCAATAACACTCTTTCTCCTCCTTCTCCTTAATTAGTGCAAATTCTTAGCTACACATTTGCATAGAAATAGAAGTCTCCTGAGAATGTTCCTCTGCTTCAATTACTGGATATAATTCCTTAAAGGTTGTTGGAGAGATAGAAAATCAATTCCTTATCTTACTCCAGCTTCTTTCTATGGATTTTTCTCTTTGTTCTATAATTACCAAACTTTTTTTTTAACCAGGAGAGAGGGACATCTGATCCTGGGTAAATCCCAGCACCTCCAGGTAGACGAGATGGAAAGCACAACTAAATGAGTTAATTTGATTTTATCATAAGACTACTTAACAGAATTTTGTAAGTCTAAAGATACAACTCTCCTGCTGTTACTTTTAACCACCTGATCAATTAGTGCCTTTAGGTCCTTCCTAAATTTCTTCTTCATTAAGCCACTAGGAACTCCTCCCTCTCTTGTCTGGTTGTTTCCTAGGCAGTCTCTCTTCCCCTTATTCTTCATTTCCACATACCGTGTTTCCCCAAAATTATGACATATCCTGATAATAAGACCATGCCATATTTTTCCTGTGGGCAAAAATATACGCCCTCCCCCAATAATACAACCCCCCCTTCCAGCCGGGCAGAGTGCAACCTAGCGATATCCCAAAGGCGCAAGGCCGCAGGAGCTGGGAGGAAGGGGGACAAAGGTGCTCACATTGCTTGACGCCTTTGGGATACCGCTAGGTTGGTGTGTGGCATTGTGCCCAGCTGGAGCAGGGGTTTGCTGGGCAGCTGCTCCCATGAGCAGCTGCCTGGCAATGCCCCTTTCTAGCAGGGCAGAGCATCATTCACCGACCCAGTAATATCTGGAATATCTGTTGGAAGACTCTGGTGGGACAGAGAGTCTTCCCGCAGCCAGCCCACAACCATAGAGCATAGTCCCAGAGTGACCGCTGCCAGAAGACTCGGCAGCGGATCTCCGGAGTTTGGAAGCCGGTTATGCTCGGAGCATGGCAGTGGCAGTGGCAACAGGACTGCAGCGGCGGCAGTAGGGCTGCGGCCACAGCAGCGCCCTGGCCCAGCCTTGCAAGGAGACCTGGATATCGTGAGGCTGAGAGGCACGCAAGCTGGAGGCAGAACAACTGCTCGCACAATCTCTCTTTCCAGCCAGGCAGAGCGCCATGTGGCTTAGCGCCTTTGGTATATTACTGGGTCGGTGAATGGCACTCTGCCTGGCTAGAAAGGGGGGTAGCCGGGCGGCTGCTCATGAGCATGGTCACCTCATGGCAGCTTTGTTGCACTGCTGCGACAGTGCAACACAGCTGTTTGCCCCTGAAGCTGTGCCCGGCTCTTCGGGCGCCCACTCACAAGAGAGCAGCCACCTGGCAACCCCAAACCAATAAGCTCCCCCCAATAATAAGGCCCACGCAAAATTTGGGGAGACAAAAGAAAATAAGACCATGTCTTATTTTCAGGGAAAAGGGTGTTGGTACTTACCTGATACGCCTCTTCTCATAGTGGGGGAGGAGTATCCAAGATGGGTTGATCTTGTCCTCTCATTAATTGGGCTGAGTCAGATAAGCTCTTTGGCCACGCCCTGGTTACCAGGTATCACCCAGTTATCGGTGAAGAACCTTATCTGACTCGCTGTGTCATCCACTCCAGACTTTATCTTAGTTTCAACCTTTATTTGTTTCTTCAACAGAACAGTTCAACCATCAAACATAACGCTCATGCTACATAACCATATAAGGGAAGGGCTGGATACTCCTCCCCCACTATGAG